TCTCTAGTAAAAAAAAATTACAAACAGTATCCATCTCAAAACGTTTTTTATTATAAACCGCCTAAAAGCATTAAATCCTACCAGAAGTGCATTTGTTCGGTCTTTTCACCAATTACACTTAGCCACATGCTACCAAGTGCACTGGTTATAATATAACACACTCCAAGTCCCAACTACCATGTGAAAATGCCTCAAATTATTCTTTTCCTTTACACAACTTGCACTTTCTCCAGAGGCACGTCTTTTCTCCTTCCTCACAACCCCCCTGACATTGCTGCAGGCCAAGTGACAGCACCTGCCTGAGACTGGTCCAGAGCGATGCACATGCAGCCTGGCCAGCAGGCTGCTGCCAAGCAGGACACAGAAACCAAGTTATAAACTGCCTTGTGCTAATCTAGAGTTTTTTTCTGTTTCACCCGCTTATTTTCATAAAACTTACAGGTAACTAGTATTTGCAACTTTAGCAGAGAGCCAAAACCTAGCCAATGGTTTAGGCAAAACTAGTGGTGGAAGAGAAGAAAGCGGAGGATAGATGGACTAATAATAATAATAATAATCAGATCACTAGTCTCATTTATTCATAGGAAACCAGGCTGTCAAATCCTAATTCCATCAGTTCCTTATTTATTTTCATCCACAATAAAATATTTTTACGTTATGAGAAAACCTTGAATTACAACTACACAATCAGAACTCTTTTAAATGAAGACTTCTGAACATAAATACAGGCCTAAATGCTGCCTGTTTCGCAGCCAAGGGAGGGCTGTTCTCACTTACTAGGTATTTTTAAGTACTACAAAGATTTTGCTTAATGTTACAGTATCACCATAAGCTTCCTTATCCAGCAAGGGAAAGCATGAAAGACTCAGCATTCAGAAGCTGTACTGCTCTACTTAGTTCCACCAAAATCGTGACTAATTCAAGCTGTGTTTTACTATTTCCTGTAGCACTTGTTTATTTAAATAGATTTATTTCACAGCTAAAAATATTTTGATTTAGAAATTGTCTCGTATCTTGAACTACGTCCACTTAGAAGAAAGCAATCTCCAAGCCCTCAAACACAATACACATGGAGCCATCACATAACACTGTCCTTCAAGGCATCCCAGAAGAGCCTCATGATTTGTTGGCAGTTTTCTTCTTCCCAGAGGCTGTAGCTCTGGGATTTAGTGGGTTTTGTTGCTGCTTGCTTTATTTTCTTTTGAGAGGAGAGTAGCTTGTTCAATATCTTGAACTGACAGGTTTTTCTCAAGTCAGGATTTCTCTTTTTTTTCTTTTTTTTTTTCTTTTTTTTTTTTTCTTTTTTTTTTTCTTTTTTTTTCTAAATGGTCCAGCCTCCAAAGCCCAAAGTTTTTACGGTCTACAGTACCCAGAATGTTTTCTTTACAAACTGGACATGAAATAGAATATAGGTCAACACGTTTGAGGTTGAAGAATGGTACTCAACAAGGATAAAATAGAACCCCAAAAACTTAATGAACACAGCACTGTATTAGATATTTAAACACAGAAACCAGTCATCTAAAATCTGAACATCTGATTTAAGTAAAAACTTCAGCATAGTATTGTTTATATCACTTACCATATCTACAATTGCATCTGAAATCAGAACAAGCCGAATGAAAAATGAATGGAAACCTGTGATTCATAAAAGGAAGTGGCTGCCTTAATACTGATCTCTCCTCTTTGTAAAAACAAAGAATACAAATAGTGTATCCCAGAGACCACTATCAGGAGATCAGAGGAAAGAGGAGAGAATATCTTAATTTTTCTCTAGTAGGAAAAAAAAAGCTATTGAAGAGGTGCCCCTATTTTTCTGTCTGCAAATTCCGTGGGGAAAAAAGCAATTCTGTGGACAACACCCCAAACAGCATTGCAATACTACCAGTACTTCTGAGAAGCATTTAACATTAACAGTTTGACTTCCAGATCATATGTAAGTGTAAGAACCTACCAAATAAAGAATAAAACCTCCCCATACTGGGCAACTCATTACAGTCTAAAACCAAAAATAATACAGAGCTTTGTCAATCATGAAACAGAAGTTCTGTTTTATGAAGAGAAGAAGTTTTCAAAGAATCACTGAAGCAGGAATTTTAGTCCAACGTTCCTGCTCAAATGTGGTCACCTACAGCAGGTCACCCCGCACTGTGTCCAGCCAGGCGTTATGTCCATAGAAGGGAACTCCGTACCTTTCCCGGGCTACATATTCCAGTGTCTGACCAAACTCACTGTATAGTAAGTTCTCTGTGTTTAGGTGGAACTTCATGCATTTGAATTTGAGCTCTCTTGTCCCATCACTGAGCACTGCTAAGAAGACTCTGGGTCCATCCTCTTCGTTCCCTCCCATCAGGTATCTATACACATTGATAAGATCACCCCGAGCCTTCTCTTGTCCAGGCTGTACAGCCCCAGCTCTCTCAACATCACCTCATATGAAAGATGCTCCAGTACATCCATGTCTCTTGTACTGGGGAGCCCAAACCTGGCAAAGTACTTCAGATGTGACCTCACTAGTGCTGAGTAGAGAAGAACAATCACACCTCTTGACCTGCTGGCAACACTACTCATCATGCAGCCCAGAACGCTGGGCTGGGCTTTTTTGCCACAAGGGTGCATTACTCACTCATGGTCAGCTTGTTGTCCACCAGAACCTCAAGGTCCTTCTCCACAGAGCTGCTCTGCTGCTGGTCAGCCTCCAGTATTTACTGGTGCCTGGGGTTATTCCTACCCAGGTGCAGGAATATGCATTTTCCTTTACTGAACTTCATGAGGTTCCTCCCTGCCTAGTTCTCCAACCTGTCCATATCCCTCTGAATGGCAGCACAACCACCTGACCTATCACCCAATCCTCCCAGTTTTGCACCATCTGCTACACTACTAGTGACTTGCTTCCAACTGGACTTTGCACCACCAATCACAACCCTCTGGCCTGACCATTCAGGCAGTTTTTAACCCACCTGTCTACTTACCTAATCCATTCTTTGTCAGCTTGTTGACAAGGATGTTATGGGATACAGCATCAAAAACCTTACTCAAGTCAAGATAAACAACATCCACTGCTCTCCCAACACCCACCAAGCTAGTCACCTTGTTGCAGAAAGCCAACAGGTTGGTTGAGCACAATTTGCGCTTCATAAATCCTTGCTGACTATTCCTGATCACATCCTAGGAATATCCAATATAGGAGCTTTCTCTCCACAATCATGAACATGCTGATGAGGAAAAGCCTCCAATCTCCTTCTCAAGTTCAGAGTTGCAAGTGTCAGTCCAGTCTACAAAATGAGGTGGGTTTAGAAAGTCTCATCGCTCTTCACACACCAATTTTTGATGCGTGGGATTTTCGTTTCCATTCTCTCTTTGATAACTTAATCTCCAGAAAAGATTTCAGGCTGCCACACACCTGCAAGAGTAGTGCAATACTCCATAATGTCGAAATCCTCTTTCATTACTAACCAAGTATATCCAGCTCTTTGCTTAATGACTGCCATCCACTTCTAAGAATGTCAGAGAGCACCTTCTATATTTCCTAAGAAAATGTACTTAAAAGCAAGTCTCAAGTTTCAGAAAAGTAATGGACTTTCCTTGATGGCACCAAAACACTGAAAAGATTGTGGCATAAGTAAATCAAACTTGCAACCAGGAACCAAAGGCACAAACAAGATAACTACAATAAAACTCCTTCACCTTCCTTAAGTGAAAATATTCCTATTCTCTGGTTTCTCAACCACCTTCGATAGATTTGTAGAAGAGAAGCAAAAAGAGGAAAGAAGCAGGTAAAGTATACAGAAATCCTTCAGATGTATGGGATTAGGCTAACTCTTTGAGAAACACTTAGAAGTAATCTCTCTGGTGCATTCAGAGAGGAACAATCCTGTGTTCTGTACAGGACAGGGAGAGAAAACATTCTAGTCTTTCAATATTGGACAAAGGTGTTTTGGTGGGAAAACACATCATTACTGCCCAGAAGAGACAAACTGGAACAATTTAGGAAGAAAGTTGAGCTGCTCCACAGGCCAACTGACTGAAGGCAGGACATCTAAAGGTATGTGTCAGTCATGGTACCAAATAACAATTTTGCTTAAAATACTATTCAATACATAATAGCACGCATGCAATCTATGCCTTGGGCTATCATTAGTTTCAGTAGATTATCATCACTTAAACTTTATGATATGGAAAAGAAAAACCTACTATATTGCCTTCTTGAACCACAAAGATTGCCATGAAAACACAGAAAAGATTATACAACTGAAAACTTCTGTTACACTCTTCTTTCTGTATTCATGACAGAGATTTCCTAAATACTGACCAATTGCCATGTCATTAAAAAACTATTTCACACCTGAAAGTGGGTTTATGGTGGGCTAGGCAACAAAAGTTGAGCCAGCGTTAAGACCAATATGTAGTTCTGAATAAAATCAGGTGGCTCAGATCCCTTCCGAACCAGTAATAAAACTAAGCTTTCAGTTCTTATGATCTTACAAGCAGAAACTGAATTCACAGTGAAGTTTCTAATCCCAGTAATTTCTTATTAAATAAGCATCAGAAGTTACTCTAAGTAACCACCAATGCCAACTTAATATTACTTCCAAGTTAAAATATCATTTAATGCAAGTGCTTTTTAATTAATAGTAGAATTTACTCTCAAAGAAAACTCTTCATAATTAGTATTTTTACAATTAATTTATTTTGAAAGCCAAAACATATTGCTGGTCTTAATCTTACTAGCATTTAGGAATTTTCCAGCAAGGCTTCTACTAATTTTTTTCTGTAAGTATTGTTTTGTATTCTATGTGTCTGAACATTCACCTTTTAAAGCATCTTCCTTCAAAATATTATCTGATGGCTATAGAAAAACACTGGCTGTTCAACAGCTATTATATTTTTCATTCTTTTGTTCAACTCAACTCACAACAAGTTTTAGGCATCTGCGGAAAAGGGATAGAGAGCACTCGGAGTTTGTATGCTGTCATTTAGAATTAGTGTTGATGTATTACCTCTGTCACAGCCCAGTGGTGTAAAAACTGGTCCAGATCAGTTAGGTAAAGACGGATAGGTGAAAGCTGTGTCTGGCTAATGTGTGGTTTTCCTCTAATGCCCTGGAGACTACTCAACTCCTCTCTTGAAAACCCTGGAGAAAAAGAAGTAGTACAACAGTATCAGGAAACAAGCCAAGCACTATTCCACTTCAACAGCATCACTGACAAAACCTGTCTTTTAAATTATGTCTGCATAACATTTTTTTTGTGAAAAGCTCTTGCTTGGCAGGTTAAATTATATATATCAAAACACAAATTCTGACTTATGAAAGACAACAAAAATATTTGAGAAATCGATGGCATACCAATGTAAACTATAACGTGGTATAAAAACTGTAAGAGGCCCACATTATGCTGCTATTTTCAATGCATGTTTCTTTACAGAATAAAAAACAGGTATAATGCAAGACAGTTCACTATGTGTTCACAACAGCTCAGTAACCTTCTAACATAACCTCAGGGTTTTAAAAAAAAAAAAAATCATTTGGCTAATTATTTCTAGCCAGGTATTAGGTGGATTAGTAAAACAAGACTACTGCTCCAAACCAGTCACTTTGGTTTTGCTTTCATTTTCTCAGTTATCACTACAGCTCTCTCATCACTGTTTTAGGAAAAAAAAAGTAATTTTTGAAAGCAAAGTAGTTGTACACTATGAATGACTGAGATGATAAAGACACTTCCTTTTTACCACAGGACAAGTTACTGGAAGATAGTTCTCAGTAGTGTTATGCCATTTTAACTGCTATAATTTCCTAACGTTGCATCACCCCAGAATACAGCTATTTTTATATCTGAGTAAGAATACAGTAGCAGAAGTAATTCCGCTCACATGCTGACCCTGGGCAGCTCACTTCAACGTACTTTGATTACTTCATTCTGATGGAATGTTTTTAATAGCATAATCATGTCCACAGGAACTCCCAGAGGCACTCATTTATATTGTTACAAGCCAATGAAATACATTTACTTAAATCTAGAAAAAAAATTCTTGTTCAAGTCATATGCTGAATTTAGCCTTTCCTTATACTTTCCAAAGAAAGTTGCTAGAATGAAAACATATGCAAATATTCAGCCTAAATAGCAATTCAAAGTGTAAAATTAGGGTGTCAAAAATCAGATCAAGAGGACAAAAAAAGAGTATCTCATTAAAAATAAATAACAAGATTAGAACTACTTTCAGGAAGTACTTACTATACCATTTAGTCTAAATTAAATCCAGCAATTGACTCTCAAAAGAAATTTCATTTTGTTAATTCTGAATTATGACATTCACATGGATTACCTATAAGGGTTGAAAACAAGAAGCTGAAATAGTCCACATCATTCACTGAATTATCCTGCACTTGGCACTTCCAGCCTGCAAAGGATGATCTAGACAAAACCAATAGCAGAGAGTTTATTAAAAACCATATAATTAAGAATTCACAACCTACCTGCACAATACAATCAATTAGCATGACTAAATAGTTAATTTTAACATTCCTGTTTCTCACTGCTGTTGTTACAGTAGCATTTTAAAGAGCTTCAAAAAGACAACTTGCTCTTTTCAAGACGAGTAATATTGAACTTTGTACCCCTACATAGGCTTAGGTTGTGAGCTGATTAAATTACTGAGATAGCAACTTTTCATAAATATCGGTATAACCTTTAATATAGTGACAACAGCCAACAGTAAATTAAATTTGTTTTATTTCCCTTATTTGGTAGAAGTCATTATCTTACAAAGTTGGGCTGTATTTTTCATCATAGGCACTGGTTTTGATACAGCTCTTTACATTAACAATAGATCCCATTTAAAAACAGTTTCAGCATCTATTTTAAGCTATTGCACACAGAACTAAATTAAAAACTCGCTTTGAGATTTAGAACATATATAGGGGCAACATGCAAAGATGGGAGCAAACTCGTTATCAAAGCTGCCTGACACTTCCCTTTTTAGGGGCAATCTGTAAGAAGTTGAGCACCAGCCTACTTTTGTTTCTCAAATTAGAAGCTGTACGTGCTTGTGGAAACTCAGAGTAAACTGAGACACTACCGACCACCCAACGGCAGAATCCTGCCCATGTGTCAGTGCAGAACCAAGAGAAAGCCAGCAGCTGGAAATACATCTCACACATGCTTTTGACAAAAGGCTGCAGCTCAGACCTACCTCACACTATGCAAAATGCATATCATTCACATTTACTTGTATGCTGCTCTTGGCACTTGCACTGTGGACTATGGATCTTTGCTGCTTTCTGCTCTTACAATCTTGCGAAATTTCAGAGTTTCCAAATGCAATTCTGCAAGCCAAATATCTGCCTCGGATCACTTTTTTCCTAATTTCTCTTTGCTAACAGCCAAAATGCCTTAGCTCATGGTTAACAAAACTCTGTAAAGCTTCTTTTTCAGAATTTTTTTACAGTTCCATGTTTTGGGAGCAAAAATATCAAATTTGGAATAACATTGTGCCAGGCATGTACATTTTGCCACCCCATGAAAACGCATCCACAATATTTCAGCATCCCCAAAAATGAGAGTCAGAATATGCAAAATGTGTCTGGAGCAACTCAAAAAAAAAAAAAAATCAGACTATCATGTAGGATAATTAATTCTAAGGAAAAAAAAAAAACACAACAGAAAATCACCGCTAGGTGAGAGAGAAAAAATAATGGCTTTATTAAATAAATCTCCCACTTTACATTGCATCCTTAAAGGCAAATCCTTATTTCCAGGCATATTTCAGGCAACCTAGCGACCTACAGTGCAGGCAGTTCTGCATGGTCCCTTCTAGTTCCTAGGAGGCCTTTGGTCCTCCTCTGAGGCCTGGCTCACTGCTTCCTTTTCTTAACCTCTAGACTCTCAACCTCTCTGCATTCGTAAGGCTGCCAGCTTGACTGCCAACACTGAGTTCTCCAGAGACAAACCTGTTGGCCATGGCCAGTAGTCTACTCACAGGAGAAGGGAGAATTTCCTCCCCCCTTCCAAGAAGGTTCCAGTCCGATTCGTTACTAGGAGATTTCACACATACTCAACTAAAGCAACAAGAGGTCTTGCAACGTATTTCCCCAGAGATTCTACATAAGGTGAATATTCACACAAGAATTAGATCCATACAGCAGGAGAGGAAATGAAGCCTGTGTCCCATTCACAGGGGAAGAAGCTGCCTGAATCCAGTGCAGAGGGACCATGAGTCAGACTTGAGATCACTTACTATATCAAAATAAGCCCTGGGGAGCAGGAGGATATTCAGGAATTACTGGACACAGAAATCTAACTGTGATGCAACCACTGATCAAAATGGTGGGAATGCAAGAGGCTGGAAGATGTACACCCCATGACAAGCTACAAGGGGAACTGGGGAAGTGCGAGAATAAAAAAAAAATCCTGGGCCAGAAGACAGAAAACACAGAAAGAACTTGTGATAAGCCCAAATCCACGGAACAGGGACTTGCACGACAAATCTAGTCAGAATCTGGTTTAAAATGACAGAATATAAAAATATTCTTCTATGCAACAGTTAGTTAGCACATGTGTCAAATTCCTCATAAATTGGGCTGGTAGATGCAAGAATTTTTACGTGAACCCCAGAAGAGACTGAACAAAACTCATATTCACTGCTGGCTAGCAAACACATAAACTGCAATAAGTTCAGGAAATCCCCGGATGTGAAAAATTATTCTGAAGCTTATTGATAAATATCTAGAAATTTTTCAAACACTTCAGCAGTTTTGTTTTTCTACCCACATTTGCCTATCTGCACACTAGCAAAACAGGACAAGCATTTGAAGCAGCCTAACAACATGCCAAGCAACGTGCCACTGACGTAGGCATTAGAGGAAGCAGAGGGAATTGCTGCTGTTCTGCCCCAGGAACATGGAGGCAGTGTTAAGACACAAACCCTTGACAGAGCTATTAAATGGTTTTAAGTCTAATCTACAAGCAGAGCTACACCGAGACATGTACACACAAAACCAAGATCCCCAAATTCATTTGCAGTTCAATTTTTTAAAAAAGTGAAAGCTATTACATATGTACAAGAAGCCTCAATGTTGAAAGAGCATTAAGGTTAAAAATAATCTAGTATTCGATTTAGAAGTGACAGAGAAAGTTCCCTATAATCTTCAGCTTGGCCTCTTTGTGCATATGCCTTGGAGTATGATAATATTATGTCTTATATTTTCTCAAAAAAAAAAAATCTATGCCTCGTTCACATCATGGGATCCATCAGGAGTATGCAACAAAGGATAACACATCCTGACCTGCTCCTCCTTATTTATTGCATCATCTATAATGTGCACAGTGTACGAGGCAGGAGACGGTTAAAAAAAGTAGAAGAAAGGATTAGCTCACAAATTCCAGTAAACAAACAGGTTTTAAGCATTATAGTGGATCACCCTCTATCTGTATCGCAGAAGTTCTATGACATGTTTAAAACTGGAGGACAGGAAGTCAGTGGTAACACATTTCTCCAGGTATCATCAGATGAGTTATTACTTTACTTCTAGAATAGAAAAAACCCACATTATTCATAGTGGAGGCTTCTCTCATCCCTTCCTTCCGCCAGTTATCACTAAGCCCTGCAACAGTTCCAACAGTGAGTAAAAGATTAAAAGGGCACTAACAGCTCTGGAGCAACACAGCTTCATGTACCTTAGAGATCAGATGGGTCTATGTGCTGCTCTTTACTGCTCCACTTGCACTTAAGTCAATCGTTTGCTTTCAAGATAAAAAATGCTAAATATTTTGCAAAATCAGTGCCAAAATGTTTTACACTGAATTCCTAAAGTCAGCAGGTACTTTTGTGTACATCTATCTGTATACACCTTTTCCTTGCCTCAGTTCCTGTAAGTTGGGAAAAATATCACCTCCTCATCTCCTACAGCTGTGAAAATACTTGAGCACAACACAAATTCCCATGGCAGGGGGGAACCGCTTTGTTTTCCAAGTGGGACATAATACAATAGACAAAACGTAGAGCCTTCTACTGAAACAAGGACAAAGCATAACATTACGTAAACACTCTTCCAGTGAGCATGCTGCACTCAATACAGAATGTAGGATGCAAAAATAACATGAGATCATGCAATCACGGATCTCACAAATATATCACAGGAAATTAAGACCAAGACCAACATCCTTCTAATATTACAAATACAAGTTTGTTTAAATACAAGTCTAATCAGTTGTCAACGCCTCAATTACCTTAGAACCCAAATGTCTATAATGTAGTTAGAGCTGCTCAGTTTTGAGGTTCACGTTAAAGGAAATAAGAACTAAGATAAAAAACACAGAACTAAGGAAACATAATTCTAGAATGGATGTTGATGTACTACAAATACATTACAAATTATTTCTAAAATCTTGGTTTAATATATTAAGACTACCATGGAAAATTAAGTGCGTGCGCTTTTAAAACATTTTCAAGTTGCTTGTAAATTACATTTTAGACATTTAACTAAAAAAAAAAAACAAACTGATTTATAGTTGGGAGAGGTAATAAGCATATTATAACCTCTCTTTTTTTGAATAAATTTTACTGACAATGGGAACCTTTTATCAAATTGCATATGAATAAGACCTCTCCAGTCAGCTAGTCCAAACCCACATTAACTATGACGAACTAAGTGTTGTAATTTCCATAAGGTTACCTGCTCTCCATGAGAACCTCTCTACTGAGGTTTAGAATTACGCCTTTAGGTTACCTGCTCTGTACACCAAACAGTATTAAAAGAAAAGCTGAATCTAATTAACTTAAAAATCACTGCTTCTCTTGCCACTAGCACAGCAAGTATTTCTCAGTCACAGCAACTGTGCGATGCATTCCTTTTATCACTTGCTACTAACTTTTCTTTTAACTCCAGATACACCTCACTACTTTTGTTCACACTGTTGTTATTTTCAGGTTGGGCGATATCACACAATTGCAAAATAAAACAACTGCAGTTTGTGCACAAGTGGTTATTTCTCAACTACAGACTATTATCTTTGTGCTTCCTGACCTAAACTAGCTACCAATTGATTTCTGGGTCATGTTTAAGGTACTGGTTTTGACATACACAGTCAGAAGGAGACTGGGTAATTTAGAGGTCTCTGGTAGAAAAACTCTGACGAACCTTGCTGCAGTCATTTTAAAGTTATCGTTCCACTTGGCCTATAAAACACACTGTTCAGACTCCAACTCGAACAGCAATGCAACTATCAAGCACAGCAAGTTTTGCTTAGAATTTGGGTTGGGTTTTTGATTTTTTTGTTGTTGTTCAGCAAGAAAATTGAAAAAAGTGTAACAAATCTGAGGCACTGATACTATACCCCTTTCATTCATATATGCAAGAGTTACAGAACTCAAGAAGTGTAAAATCAAGAGCCTGGGTTTTCTGTTCAAGGAAACT